AATGGTAAGAAAACACATTTTTATTCAGTTGTTGTCACAGGCTACAGGCAGAAACAAACAAAGACAGTGTAACGAGAAATGACTCCTAATGAAGAGTTAAAAACAAGTTGCTGAATCAAGATCTGACTCAATGAACTTACGTTACAACAGTGATGTCCCTCTCAAAAATAAGTTTAGAGTGCAAATAGCTTTTGGCTTATCCATTAGCACCAATAGCCTTTTTAATTAAATCTATATTTTTTGGGATAAAACAGTCTTGTAAATAACTATTCTAAGGGGAAAACTGTGAAAGCTTTGATTGATTTAATTTGATTGAGGCCAGAGAAAAGTATTCTGCTCTGATTAAATCATTGCACATGTCTGTGTTAATGTTGTTTTCTTACACAAGAATAAACCACACTTGACACTCTTGTGGTTTTTTGACACTCACAGCTTTTATTATTAGTCTATCAGCTCGGGTTCAGACAGTGCTGACACTATTTAGTTTGTCAGTGGCTTCTGGAATGCTATTTGTTGCACCTGTCAGGTGATGCCATGAATGTATTTGTCCAAGATTATGTTGAATGTGAGATCATGACAAATCGAATTATATGTTTTGGTATGAAGTCCTTTTCAAGACAATTTGTTGGTCATTGTGGTGACAAATAAAAATGTATGCTTTCATGTCACCCAATTGATATTGTTGCTTCAGTACATTTTTACAGATCTACCTTCTCATAGTTATACTCTCACAAAATAGTCGGCCTTTAGAAGGAAATATGATGTCACTTAGTGTATTTGCATGTCATTTTGCAACACTTCAGGACCCATCCCTGATGAAGGGGTTGCATCCTCTTAACGCAGGCAGACCGTCCAGCTTTAAGTGACTATACTATCTCTTTTTTATTTTAATTTGACAAATTCAGTCTTCCCATCTTTGTGGACAACAACACAGGACTGAGGTTCTCTTTTTCTAATGTGTGCTATTTTAAACTAGTTTTGATCAGGTTTACTCTGTGCAGTGCCAGAATGTTCTGGTTTACTAACACTTGTATCTCATTCATATATTTTACAGCTCTGCTTTTTGACTGCACACAGTGAAGAGATGAACATTTCCAATAAGAGCTTTCAAACTCTTTGAATCAGTTCTTTTTCAATGGCACTGTGGAGGAAATTGGTTTTAAAATTAGATTTAGATTTTATCACCATTATGTGGTGTTTTCCTTTTAACTCCTATGTAATATGGCTTATAGTAACAGGAACAGGGAATGGACTTGTGGCAGAGTTCATCAGTCTGAACCTCTCTGCGTGTGTGATGCTCTTTTTAAAACGATAGTAAGATACATTTAATACGTCTTCAGAATCAGGATCAGAAAGAACTTTATTACCAAGTGTGTTTACACACACAAGGAATTCGTCTTGGTGTTAGGAGCTTCCAGTACAGAAAGTACAAACACAGTGCAGACATACATAATTTAAGATAATAAAAACACTAATAATAAAGAGAATAGAAAATAAATTATAAATAACAACATAGTAATAAAATATAGAGAAAAAGAAAAATAATGATGCTGAAGTTTTTCTAAAGTAATTCATACCCCCCTGTAATTTGGATCTGAATCTCAGGTGAAAATTGCTATTTTGACCACCCTCTACAAAACAGTGGATTACACTCTTAAAAATAAATGTGCTTCAAAAGGTTCTTCAAGCGATGCCACAGAAGAACCATTTTGGTTCCACAAAGAACCATTCAGTCAAAGGTTATTTAAAGAACCATCTCTTTCTTACCTTTTTGTAATCTGAAGAACCTTCTTTCACCACAAAGAACCTTTTGAGAAACAGAAAGATGACCACTAGTCATCGTTTTATGTTCATTTTGGAAGATAATTTAAGGTTTGGTCTAGGGTTTGATGTTCAGAGATAAATTTTATTTTTCACAGTACTTCAGCTTTCTTGTTTCTTGAGGTTTTGACAAATATTTGACTGCAATAAAAGTTTTTTTCTGTATTTGTGAAACTAACATGCAAATACAACAAGCAAACTGCAAACTACCATGCTGATAATGTGGTTACTGAAAATGACTAACAAAAATAGCTATAACTACAATTTTGTTTACATGTTAGCTTTTTTGGAATGACTTAGGATTTCAACTATGACATCTGCCATAGATATACTGGCACTGTTGTTTCAAAACATATTTTACACATGCTTACAGAAATTGTAAATGTTTTTTAAAGCAAAGATGATATCACTTAATGTATTTGCATATTAGGGTTTCATCTCGGATATTACTCGGATATAAGTTTCATCCCATTGATACATCAAATTGAAAGGCAGACAGTCCAGCTATAAATTACTGTATAATTCTGTTTGCTTCAATCATACTTATGGAAGACAGGAAAGAGGTAAAAAGCTGATTGATGTTGCTTGTTTTGGCGAGATAATTGATTGCCATTATGAATGTCAAGGCTAGATACTGATTTACTGTTTTTTGACTGCAAACAGTCAGATCTTCCCCACTGATGGGTTAAACTCTTCTGAGTACTACTTTTTCAATGCTACTGGGGTTCAAGTCGATTTTAGAAGGACCTCAGCAGCAGATATCAAGACTATTCTGTTGGGTTTTCCTATCAACTCCTATGTGATATGGCTTATAGTAACAGGAACAGGTAATTGCAGAGTTCTTCAGTCTCAACCTCGCTGTCTGTGAGATTTTCTTGAATGAATGACGGAAGGAATAAAGGATTGATATAGTGATTTACTGTGTATTCTGTACACCCAACGCGCTTTACAATCATATGAGGGGTCTCTCCTCAATCACCACCAGTGTGCAGTGTGCAGACGGCAGCCACAGAGCAATGGCACCAGTGTGCTCACCACACACCAGCTTCAGGTGGAGAGGAGAGAGTGATAGAGTCAGTTCAATGGATGGGGATTATTAGGATTGACATTGTCAGGGTCTGGCGTCTGGTGTTTCTCCCTCTCACCACCAGAGGTCGCCATTTCCCATCCTCCCGGACTCCGTTACCTTCACTCCACTCACCTGTTCTCTCATTACCTTATTATTGATTAATTTGTCCCAGCTGTTTACCTGATAGCCTCTCCCTTATAAACTCCCTGTGTTTTCTGTTCTAGTCTCGTTTGTCTCACATAGGTGTCGGATCACGCCTTTGATTTGTGGCTGCCCGGTGCTCAGTTTATGTCTCGTGGTAAGCTTTTGTGTTACTCTGGCTTTTTCCCCTTCGGGGTGGTTTCAGTAATGTTTATTGTTTATTTTGTGAGTCGTAAATAAAGACACCCCATCTGCCTGCACTTGAGTCTTCGCCTCTTTCGAGCCGTGACAGTACAAACAAGCCCTTTGAAGACTCAGCGGCGATGGGGATATTTTTATACCCAGCTCCCGGATAACCGAGGATCTATACCTTTGCCGATGGGCCACATCCCTGCCCACAGGACAATCGCCCATTTGGGCTGTACACCGAGGACCTCTTCGATGCAGGCCAGGGGCTAGGGCTTGAGGAGAACACCCTCATCCACCTGATTATAGCGGGCCTTGACGAGCCCGTCAACTGGGAGGAGCTGGGAGAGCTAGATACGTGGTCCTATTGGGAGATGGTCGACCACATCATCTATTTAAGGGAGGTGGAACTGCTGGAGGGTGCCCTCCTCCCAGTCTGGGCTGCCGTTCCAGAACCTCCTCAGGTAGTGCCAGCCACTTACAGGTTCTGGGGGTCATTCTTTGAACATCCCAAGCTGAGACGCAGCATGGAGGATCCGCTGCTGATGTCGGTGAGGCAGGCGATGGTGCCCGCTCACAAGCCTCCCGAGGCGGCGGGGCCCACTCACGATCCTCCCGAGGCGGCGGTGCCCGCTCACGATCCTCCCGAGGCAGCAGTGTCCGCTCACAAGCCTTCCGAGGTGGCGGGGCCCGCTCACGATGTTCTCGAAGCGGCGATGCCTGATTCACGATCCTCCCGAGGCGGCGATGCCTGCTCACGATCCTCCCGAGGCGACAGTGCCTGCTCACAGATCCCCCAAAGCGGCGGTGTCCACTCATAGTTCCCCCGAGGCGGCGGTGTCCACTCACGAAGCTCCAGAAGCGGCGGTGTCCGCTCACAGTTTTCCAGAAGCGGCGATGTCCGCTCTCAGTTTTCCCCAGGCGGCGGTGTCCGCTCACAGTTTCCTCGAGGCAGCGGTGTCCACTCACAGTTCCCCCGATGTGGCGGCGTCCGCTCATAGTGCCCCCGAGGCAGCGGTGTCAAATTATAGTTTAAAAGGCTGCGCGATCGGCTGTACACATACGCTGAGCGATTCAACGCACGAAAACACACACAAGTATGTCCAAATGCGCTGTTTTGGCGAGTTACCTTGTAAACGTGGTCTTAAATGAGTAATAAAGTCTTAAATGACCATAAAGAGTTGGGAGAAAATCTGATGTGTCAGATCCGCGTCATATGCATCAGGTTTTAAAGAGACAGCACTGATTTTGAAGTGAAACCTGCTGATGTCTGTCATTGATGTAAATCAAAAGAACAAAAGAAAAAGAGAAATCCTCTGACTGTTCTAGTCACTGATTAACTTTTAGCTTGAATAAAGATTAATATGTATATATAATATAGTTTATGTGAAGATTGTTTTAAAACTTAAATTAAAAGTTGTTATATATTTCAGAGCCTATTAAATGTTAAAAATAATGGCTTTCAATTATACTGTAATGTTGAATGGCTATAATTAATAGGTAAAATTGAGGGGAAATGCACCAGCAGGACAAATTAAAAATATTGTACATACGTTTAGTCACTTTAGCAGTAATAACAGCCTGTTTTTGCAAAAAGAGTTCCATGGTCGGTAAAAAAATATTTTGGCCGGTAAATTTTATCATTAAAGAGTTGGGAGAAAATCTGATGTGTCAGATCCGTGTCATATGCATCAGGTTTTAAAGAGACAGCACTGATTTTGAAGTGAAACCTGCTGATGTCTGTCATTGATGTAAATCAAAAGAAAAAGAGAAATCCTCTGACTGATCTAGTCACTGATTAACTTTTAGCTTGAATAAAGATTAATATGTATATATAATATAGTTTATGTGAAGATTGTTTTAAAACTTAAATTAAAAGTTGTTATATATTTCAGAGCCTATTAAATGTTAAAAATAATGGCTTTCAATTATACTGTAATGTTGAATGGCTATAATTAATAGGTAAAATTGAGGGGAAATGCACCAGCAGGACAAATTAAAAATATTGTACATACGTTTAGTCACTTTAGCAGTAATAACAGCCTGTTTTTGCAAAAAGAGTTCCATGGTCGGTAAAAAAATATTTTGGCCGGTAAATTTTATCATGTCACCGGCCATTGGCAGGTGTGACAAAAAGTTCGTTTTAGGTCCTGTATATGTATATATATATATATAGAGAGAGAGAGAGAGACCCTTGTTTCAGTTAGTGGTCATTGTCCTGTCTAGTTTACCAGTGAATTTTCTTACCTTGTTTGAATTTATGTCTTCCCTCGATGGATTATCTTTGTATATGTTTTGCTGTGGAATAAGCTGCTTGCAATCTCACTTCTCTTTGTCGCTGAGCCAGTGTTACATTTTCCTGGAAAAAAAATAATAAATCATGATTTAGCTGAAATCACCATTTTGCATTTTGGTAGATGACATTGTTTTTGTAACTCCATGTGATAGATGAGTATCTGTTTTCAGTGTTTTGAATGAGTTTGTTTGTAAATAGATTTTTGTTATTGAAACAAGTTAAACCTTTAATGAATTTAGTGAACTTTGCTTTGTCGCTGAGCCAGTGTTACATTTTCCTGGAAAAAAAAATAATAAATCATGATTTAGCTGAAATCACCATTTTGCATTTTGGTAGATGACATTGTTTTTGTAACTCCATGTGATAGATGAGTATCTGTTTTCAGTGTTTTGAATGAGTTTGTTTGTAAATAGATTTTTGTTATTGAAACAAGTTAAACCTTTAATGAATTTAGTGAACTTTGTTGTTTTGTTGAAATGTTGAAATTATTACGTTATTATTATTATGAAATTAATAATAATTATTATTATTAATAATAATATTAAAGTGATTCAACTTTTTGTTTTTTACAACAAGCCTACCATCTTGTTGTAATGCTATTATATAACACAGCTGGACTTTTAAAACAAATAAAATGTCAGTGTATTTGCATGTCAATATGCAATGCCTCAGAATTCATACCTGACAAAGAAGTGCAAGTTTTATTCCATTACAGATCAACATAAGGCAAACAGTCCAGCTTTAAGTGACTAAAAACATAACTTTGTCCACTACTTTTAAATTTATTTTGCTTATTTGCTCATTTTTTCCCCCTTTTTTCTAAAATCAATTGTTCCATCTTTGTAGACAACAGCAGGACCAAGGTAAAATATCCAAATAATTACAATAGAAATCATTTTCTAATGTGGGTCATTTAAAGTAGTTTTGATCAGGTTTATTCTAGTTCCAGAATGTTCTGGTTCACTAACACTTTCTCGTTCATAGATCACAGTTGTGTTTTCTGACTGCACACAGTGAAGAGATGAACATCTCCAGTGAGATCTTCAACACTGATGGGTCAAATTTTTCAGATTACTTGTTTTACAATGGCACTGAGGAAGAAACTGGCTTTGCAAAGATTGCAGTGAATATCATCATCATTCTCTTGGGTTTTCCTATCAACTCCTATGTGATATGGCTTATAGTGACAGGAACAGGGAATGGACTTGCAGCAGAGTTCTTCAGTCTCAATTGCTCTGCCTGTGAGATGCTCTTTTGTATGGAATGTCTATTTTATCTTATCAGCTATAAAGATGCAGATTATTGGATAGGTGCAATTTTTTTCGATTCAGTAGGCATCACTGGTCGTCCACTGTTTCAGTGTCTGATCTATATTGAGCGTTACCTGGCAGTGGTTCATCCTGTAACCTTTCTGAAGTACAAACCTCTCAGATATAGAATGATCTGTTCTGTTATTGCCTGGTTGGCTAGTTTTGTTTCTGGTGTGATCAATATTATGACACTGTTTTTGTCCCAGGGTTATTTGTATAGATTTTTCATCATAGCACATTTCTCCCTGTTCTTCTCCATCCAGTTGTTTTGTCTTGTAGCTGTTCTCAGAGCTCTGAAGCAGTCAGGACCAGGAGAGAGAAGGAGAGCGAGAGAGGAGGAAAATCACATGAAGAGAAGAGCATTTCTAATCATTCTGATAACTACCGTGATCATGCTAATTATATTGTTTTCCCATTTTATTTTAAGTATTCTTTCTGTTTTAGTGCATAATGGAGAAACACTCATGAACATAGGTTTTTTTTGTTTTACTTCAGCTGGTTTGGTGCAGCCTCTTCTCTTTCTCTACCGGGCTGGGAAACTGCCCTCCATTAAATGTCAATAAATCTATTTTAATATTATGAAGTCTCTATAATCCATTTTCTATGGTCTTGCTACATTATTGATATACAAGGTTATACATTTAATATAGCTATTCATTTTTTATGCTAAAAAATTAAGTTAGGGTGTAGGGGAGAGCGGGGCACAATGTAACACTTTTTGACTTTCTCAGTTTGTGTAAATCCACATGGGGTTCAGAGTATAATTTTTTTATCTACAGTATTTTTACACTTGTCTAGTACAAATACGTCACTTTGTTTCATGATTACAGTGTATACATTTTTCTTTATTTAATGTGACAACATGCCCCGTAGGTGGAAAACATTGTAACATCTGAGGGGCACGTTGTAACATGACCGTATGACAGCTTAAAATATTATTTGATCTAACGAAAAAAAATATACAAGACAAACTAAAATATTTTGTCAATAAAATTAAATTATTAACCTTTTCAAAAAAAAAAAAAAAAGAATGTCATTTTTTTTAAGAATTAAAAATAATCTGATTTTGGAGTTTGACATTGCAACCATGCTTGGGACGGCCCACATAAATGAGCAAAAATGCTTTACATTTCTTGAAATAAAAACTTCTGAACATTAAACATTGACTGTCAGTCTTTATTCACCTGTTTCTCGTGGTTTCTCATTGAAATTCATTAAAGTAAAATAGTGTAAATTACATGGCTAATGTCATAGAATAGCATCTGCGCAACTGGAATTTAAAACCGGTTGGTGTCTTCTGCAAGATAGTGAAGCATTAAAGAACTATCTAAACTGATAAATAACAGATTGGAGATTAAAATAATAGCAGATTTGTCTAATTTCAAATGAATACTAAAAACTGAGATGAAAAATTGTCTTAAGCCAGAAATGTACTTTTACTAAGGTAAAATAAATGTTCAGTGATATCTTCAAAAGATTTTAGAATTTTGGCACACTTTTTTCTCTATATAGTGTTGATATGGCAACTAGTAAATAGCATACATTTTGTTATGCTAGCATGTTGGGAAATATTCAAACCACGTGTGTTACAACTAACCCCACGTTACTTCGTGCCTGCGCTCCCCTATACTTCCTTTTTTGTAAGTGAACCAGAAATTATAAACCAAACCACACGTGTGCTAAGGTCATCCATTCATTGGACAGAAATTCTCAAGTGTACCAGAATTAATTTTGAACCGGACCGAGACCACCTCTTCAGCTGGGTCTCGGTGCAGTTGTTTGGATTGTTTGGAGTGCGATTGCTGTATTCACACCTGCCCAAAATATCTGCACCAAGGAGGGAAACGAACTTGAGTTCGATTCAATCGAACCAAACAAGACAGGTGTGAATAAATTCAACTTTTGACAAAAACTATTCTTAAGCTCTGTTGTTTTTGTAATGTAGTAGTTTTATGTTTATTATTTTAATTGCAACTATTATTAACCCTCATATAAAAAAATTAATCACATTTAAATCTGAGGACAAGAAGTGATCTCTGTTCTCTCTTAATTGTTGATTATTGTGGTTATAGGAGTTTGGTCTAGTTGAGATGTAGAGCTAAAAATGTATCACGGTCACAACAGGGTCAACCTAATCCCATCACAAGGTGAGAGTGTCATAAGACATTCTTCCTCCTACAATACAGGGCTCCAGCTAAGGAGTTTCACCTTAACAGTACAATCAATGAAGATTGTTGAATAAATAATAATTATTTAAAATGGAGGGAAGTTGACATCTGATGATCAATTTGAAGGATTTGTGAGAGATAGTGGTAACACTTTACAATAAGGGTACATGAATAAGCATGTACTAATACCAGAATTAATACATACTTCAACATGAACACATGATTAGTGAAGACATGAGCTAATCATGAACCAATCAAGAGCTATCCTTAGCTAGAACTGGAGTCTTATGGATTCATACGTGACTAAAAGCAGCCTTAACTACATGTTAGTACTTGTTTGATAGTTAATGCCTTAATTAAGATTTAGGGGTTAACTAAATCAAGTCGTTTCTAAAAGAAAGAATAATAAATATTTTGACTTTCAAATAAATTAAATAATTTAATATTGTCATAATTTAAACTATGCTGACATCTGCTGCTTTGTTACAAACATTACTAAGCATTTCACACATTATAAGCATTACACAGGATTAATCATTATTTTCACTGATCCTCCTTATCAAATGTAGAAAATACTAAATACAACACACTAATAATTGATCTTAAAAAGTCATAATCTATTTTGTGTCATTCTCTGTCTCGTCAAACCCAAACTCCTGTGACTTAAATACAATTAAATAAAAACAAAAATTAAAACCTACAAAGAACATTTGTAGAACAGTTCCTGAAGAATCAGTCCCAAAAAACAAACAAACAGGAAACATGCACTAAGGTTAGGGGAGCGTTTGCTGGGTATCAGCACAGTTCACTCTCCATGCAGACACGATGATGATGCTGTACCTCCACACTACGACTTTTTGAAAAGCCACACAGCATCACTTTAACTGGGCTAGATACTGGCTGTACTAATACATGTGTATTTGATACCAAGTTTATAATAAGCTGTTAACATTGAATTAATTATAATGTAGTCCCGGGAAGAATGAACAATAAAAACAATAAAAATCTGAAAACAGAGATCAAATTATTAGTTGTAAATATGTGTCCGTTTTTTTTTTATTATTATTGTCCGTTTTCTTTTTATAGTTCGTTTAGCCTATATCAAGTAATGGCTACTTTTCTTCCCGGGACTACAGTGTGTAGGCTTTGTTAAAAAAAAATGCTTAATCGGCCCCGATTCTGATCTTTGAAATCGGTTCGGGACATCCCTACAGAAAACACTGAGCAAATTGGAATGTTTGTGAAAACAGGTGAAATGAGTTAAAAGTTTTGAGAAATGTGTCTTTGTTTCGAGAACTGAATGAATAGTTTGGGAAATTGGGCCAAATGAATCAGTTTAGCATGTTAGCAATCGAGAAAAACTGTAACTAGTAACAATGAATTTTGCCTCAAACTCGTAATTTGCTGCTTATTAATAGTTAGTAAAGTAGTTGTTAAGTTTAGGTATGGGGTAGGATTAAGGGATCTAAAATATGGTAATGCTGAATAAGGATTTAATATGTAGTATATTAAGCAAAATATGCTAGTAATATGCATGTCAATAAGCTACTAGTTAATAGTGAGAATTGGTCCCTAAAGTGTTATCTAATAATCGTCCTAAAAATCAGAGGACTGTTTACTAGTTACTTACCAGCTTTACTAGCTACAGGAAGTTTTTCAAATGTAGGCTGTTGGTTTTTAGGTCTTGATAAACTTATATTTACCAGAAATTAAATACATATTTTTATTAAAGTAGCTTGGATAACAGAGTTGAATGGTTGAGCATGATGAATGTAGTCCAACAGTAACAAAAATAAAAGAAAATAAATAATCTGTATGCTACACAATGAACAGAGATGCATTCACATTGGAATAAAAATAACTAATATGATTTTAGTTTATACATTTAAAAATGTTTTGTTACAATTAAATTAATATCTATAGACCAGGGGTATTCAGTTAAAGTTCCAAGAGGTCCGGTCTCTACATTTCATTCCCAGTGGAGGTCCGGACTATACAGTATATAAATTATATATACAGTATATAGTTACATCTTTTTCATCTGTGCACCAGTAATTCTTTAAATAATCATAATAGTCATATTGGGTCCTCAGAGCCAAAGACCAGTGGCTTCTGAAAATTTTTCTAAAAGTAAAAATAAGAAAAAATTAATAAAAACCTCATCCCAAAAAACAAACAAACAGGAAACATGCACTAAGGTTAGGGGAGCGTTTGCTGGGTATCAGCACAGTTCACTCTCCATGCAGACACGATGATGATGCTGTACCTCCACACTACGACTTTTTGAAAAGCCACACAGCATCACTTTAACTGGGCTAGATACTGGCTGTACTAATACATGTGTATTTGATACCAAGTTTATAATAAGCTGTTAACATTGAATTAATTATAATGTAGTCCCGGGAAGAATGAACAATAAAAACAATACAAATCTGAAAACAGAGATCAAATTATTAGTTGTAAATATGTGTCCATTTTTTTTTATTATTGTCCGTTTTCTTTTTATAGTTCGTTTAGCCTATATCAAGTAATGGCTACTTTTCTTCCCGGGACTACAGTGTGTAGGCTTTGTTAAAAAAAAATGCTTAATCGGCCCCGATTCTGATCTTTGAAATCGGTTCGGGACATCCCTACAGAAAACACTGAGCAAATTGGAATGTTTGTGAAAACAGGTGAAATGAGTTAAAAGTTTTGAGAAATGTGTCTTTGTTTCGAGAACTGAATGAATAGTTTGGGAAATTGGGCCCAATGAATCAGTTTAGCATGTTAGCAATCGAGAAAAACTGTAACTAGTAACCATGAATTTTGCCTCAAACTCGTAATTTGCTGCTTATTAATAGTTAGTAAAGTAGTTGTTAAGTTTAGGTATGGGGTAGGATTAAGGGATCTAAAATATGGTAATGCTGAATAAGGATTTAATATGTAGTATATTAAGCAAAATATGCTAGTAATATGCATGTCAATAAGCTACTAGTTAATAGTGAGAATTGGTCCCTAAAGTGTTATCTAATAATCGTCCTAAAAATCAGAGGACTGTTTACTAGTTACTTACCAGCTTTACTAGCTACAGGAAGTTTTTCAAATGTAGGCTGTTGGTTTTTAGGTCTTGATAAACTTATATTTACCAGAAATTAAATACATATTTTTATTAAAGTAGCTTGGATAACAGAGTTGAATGGTTGAGCATGATGAATGTAGTCCAACAGTAACAAAAATAAAAGAAAATAAATAATCTGTATGCTACACAATGAACAGAGATGCATTCACATTGGAATAAAAATAACTAATATGATTTTAGTTTATACATTTAAAAATGTTTTGTTACAATTAAATTAATATCTATAGACCAGGGGTATTCAGTTAAAGTTCCAAGAGGTCCGGTCTCTACATTTCATTCCCAGTGGAGGTCCGGACTATACAGTATATAAATTATATATACAGTATATAGTTACATCTTTTTCATCTGTGCACCAGTAATTCTTTAAATAATCATAATAGTCATATTGGGTCCTCAGAGCCAAAGACCAGTGGCTTCTGAAAATTTTTCTAAAAGTAAAAATAAGAAAAAATTAATAAAAACCTCAGCTGAGCCCAATTAGATATGAATATTAAAAGATAAGATCAGATGTTTTATCAAGTTATTATTATTTTTTACATTTAGATACATATGTAAAGCAGAAAGCCATGTGACAGAAAAATATATTGTATATGGGGCTTCAGAGTTTTCTTCTTAAAGTCTGGACCATTTTTATATTTTTTCTCAACATAACAAACATAATCAAACATAATCAAAATGCTCTCACCATGAGCAGAAAACAAAGTTAACTAGTAATTTCAAAGTTTATGTTGTCTTTCCTAGCCATCTACAAATAATTTTCCCCCTTTTAACAATTCTATGTTTATTCTAAAATGCTCTTAACATACTGATTAATAATGCTAAATGTAGATGAAAAAAAGTCCTGTCAGCCATGAGCTAGCTCACCTTATAGCTAACAACCAAAACATTAGCACTTAAAAATATATATATATATATATTTAAATTTGATGTGTTTAACTACAAAGCAGGCATTGCCATCACAAAAATAAGTAAAATAACAAAATGTTACTGTCTTACATCAAAATTAGTTTTTCCCCTCTAAAATCTACTGTGTCTGCCCCAGGGATTTTCTTCATCACAGAATCACATTTAGAATAAGGAATAAACTAAGCATGAGTGAAATGAATCAAGTGATTTGTAACTTGTCCCTGATTGGAGAAACTGGATATATATATATATACTCCATTTTGCAGTGTAAAATGGCTCAGAACATGTAATTCGCTAGCTATTTATTTAGAGAAATCCGAACCAGAAAGTACTATGTGACCCTGGACCACAAAACCAGTCATATGGGTCAGTTTTTTTAAATTGAGATTTATATATAATCTGAAAGTTGAATAAATAAGCTTTCCATATATGGTTTGTTAGGATAGGAAAATATTTGGCCACGATACGACTATTTGAAAATCTGGAATCTGAGGGTGCAAAAAAATCTAAATATTGAGAAAATCGCCTTTAAAGTTGACAAAATGAAGTTCTTAGCAATGCATAATACTAATCAAAAATTAAGTTTTAATATATTTACAGTAGGAAATGTACAAAAAATCTTCATGGAACATGATCTTTACTTAATATCTTAATGATTTTTGGCATAAAAGAAAAATCTATAATTTTGACCCACACAATGTGTTTTTGGCTATTGCTACAAATATACCCCAGCGACTTAAGATTACTTTTGTGCTCCAAGGTCACAAATAGTTGTAATTTTGGCCTTTTTTTACATATTAAGTTTTAATGTGTTCATATGGTTGGTATGAAGCTTATGGTGATAAAAAATATGAGATGGGAGGACAAAATGTCTTTCAATGCTTTTGAAATATATCATTTTTGAAATATATTCTATTTTTTGCCATTAATATGCGCCTAGGGGCTCCGTAATATTCTGACATTAATTCTGCTTTCACCCTAGAAATGTGCATTATGAACTATTTTAAATTCAAGTCAGTCACTGGCTCTCAGTTCAAATGTTTCGTTTGATATATGTCTGTCTTTTTGAACTTTTTTTTTAGATGACATATTTGCATATCTGGTGGTTTATGCGACATACAGCAGATCTTTCACATACTGTATATTCACCTTACAGCTGTGAAATCAGTCTATAAAACACAGCACATAGATTTATACACATACAGAGAGACTCAGCATTCACTCTCCAGGTGACAAACTCTTCTCATAAACTTGAGATTGTATGTGACTGTAGGCAACATGAGTGAACATTTGCTTGTTCTTTTAAATAGAACATGAGGCTTTAAAGTAATTTTTATGAAGAAGAAGAATAGAAAATATTGAAAATGTAAAATTGCTTTTCAGGTCGTTGTTTTGTAGACTTGTGTGGATTTGTTTCATTTGCTGTCTGAAATATGTTAAGTTTTTTTGTTTGTTTAAAAAAAAAAAGCAGATGAAGTTTGACAGTTTTTTGAATGACCAGTTTACTTAATTTAATTCTGAGGATTCTGGTTGAAACTGAGACTGTGTGTTTTGAGAGAAGATCATTAAAGTTCAGCATTTTATATTGCAATATCTTATTCTTGCCTCTTGTTTGTGCTGCATGTTGACAACCGAGCAATTTAATTATCAGATGTACATATACTTCTGCTCGATTCAGTTTGTACTCTTCCTCTCCATCCAGTTGTTTTGTCTTGTGGCTGTTCTCAGAGCTCTGAAGCAGTCAGGACCAGGAGAGAGAGGAAGAGAGAGAAAAGAGGAAAACTACATGAAGAGAAGAGCGTTTCATCTCATTCTAATAACTACTGTGACTATGACTATTATTTATATGCCATTAATTATCTCAGGATTCTATTTCATTCTTATGCGACAGTTTATTGTGAATCTTTTTTCGTCTGGTTTGTTCTGTTTTATTCTGGCTGGTTTTGTTCAGCCTGTTCTTTATCTGCACAGGGCCGGAAAGCTTTCCTGCTTTTGTTGTTCTTAATACATTAAATGGTTTAATTTTCAATGATGAACTATTTTTTTCCAAATGCTTGATTTTTCAGTTAGTTACTTTCAAATCCATACTTTTTATGCTTTGTTTACTTAGAGAGATCCTCCACCTCATTAATTTATGCATAAAATCCTTGACTGTTGTATGCTACTTTTAGATCTACTAATAAATAAATTGCATAGCATGTGTTGCACCTGTGCAGGCCAGATTTTACTTTGTTGTGTTGTCAGCCTTAATGTAGACGTTATAGTGGTCAGTTTATACATTTTTTCAAAACAATTTCAAGGCAAAATAAGTCTGTGTCTGAAGAAATAAAATATCAAAACAGCTTATCAGAATTGTCTTTTTTTTCATTAATGTAAATAAAGCGTTCTCAGTGTTCAAAGATGTGACTGATCTGTATCAAAAAGTTGTTTTTGGCCATTTATAGCACTAATAAAATTTAGTTTTAGTTTTGCAGTGAGTTTTCAGTGAGACCAGTTCCAGCTTTCACAAAAAAAAAAAAAATTATCTTCATGTTTACACAAATAATAGTGTCTTTTTCAAACTCATTCTTACTTTTAATATTTGCATATTTTTATGTCAGGTGTAGCATATGAAGTCATGCATATATTATATTCCTGTGTCAGCAGTGAAATCAGTCTACATAACAAAGCACAGAAATATACATACACCCAGAGAGACTGGACAATCACTCTTCAGGTTACAATCTTTATTATTTTATTTTATTTTATTTTATTTTATTTTATTTTATTTTATTTTATTTTATTTTATTTTATTTTATTTTATTTTTCTGACACACTCCTTATTTTATTTTATTTTATTTTATTTTTCTGACACACTCCTATGTTACATGGCTCATCATCACAGGATCAGGAAGTGGAGCTGCATCAGGATTCTTCAGCCTCAATCTCTCTGTTTGTGAGATTGTTTACAGTCTGACTGCTATTTTCAATCTATTGTCAGTTTTCTTTTCAAGTCTCATGATAAGACAACATTTTTTTCAAGGACTCACCACCACTGGTCATCCTCTGTTTCAGTGTCTGATGTGTGTTGAGCGTTACCTGGCAGTGGTTCAGCCTTTAACCTTTCTGAAGTAAAAACCTCTCAGATATAGAGTGATCTGTTGCACCGCGGCCTGCATAATCACTCTTGGATCCGGTTTTCTTTCCATGTTCATTTCAGAGAATGCTACACTACACTACACACACGGTTCTTCTCAACACAGTCCCAGTTCTTCCTCTTCATCCAGTTGTTTTGTCTTGTGGCTGTTCTCAGAGCTCTGAAGCAGTCAGGACCAGGAGAGAGAATGAGAGAGAGAGAGAGAGGAGGAAAACCACATGAAGAGAAGAGCGTTTTATTTCATTCTCATAATTACAGTAATTAATTATATATTATATATGTATTATAGTATTATATATGAGCCATACATATAATAATAGGCATAATCACTCTTGGATCCGGTTTTCTTTCAATGTTCATTTCAGAGAATGCTACACTACACTACACACACTGTTCTTCTCAACACAGTCCCAGTTCTTCCTCTTCATTCAGTTGTTTTGTCTTGTGGCTGTTCTCAGAGCTCTGAAGCAGTCAGGACCAGGAGAGAGAATGAGAGAGAGAGAGAGAGAGGGGAGGAAAACCACATGAAGAGAAGAGCGTTTTATTTCATTCTCATAATTACAGTAATTAATTATATATTATATATGTATTATAGTATTATATATGAGCCATACATATAATAATAGGATTCTCTTTCATTTTGACTCAGCAGTTTATTGAGGAACTCTTTTCTTTTAGTTTTATTTGTTTTATTCTGGCTGGTTTTGTTCAGCCTGTCCTTTAGCTGCACCGAGCTGGAAAACTCTTCTACCTTCGCTTTCCATAAAACATTAAATGAGCTAAACTCGCTTATTTGGTTTCCTCTATGGCACGAAAACCCTTGTTAATGTTAACCTGTCATTTAGTGTTCTGTTTATTTAGAGAGATTCACCACCTCACTGATTTGCTTGTGAATAAAATCCTTGACTGTCTCATTCTACATTCAGAAGAACTCTATTCTGGGTAAATAAGAGGTTATTTGCTGGAAATTATTATTATTATTTCACTAAATTGCTTAATTGCTAATGCAATATTGCCAATTGCAAATTAAGTGTTGTAAGTGTTCAACATGCAATTTTCACTTGAAATGCTTGGATTTTTTTTCTGTTCCTATGTTTATGTCATGATCCCAGCCATGTGTTTCCCTGTCTTGTTTAAGGACTTTTAAGTTGAAGGGTTTTATCTTCCCTATTGTTTCCAAGTTCCCTTCCTGTGTTTAGTTCCTGTTTCCCTGTTGCATTTGTTACCGTGTTTGTTCCCATGGTTACCCCTCATTTGTTGTCATGGTAATTTATGATAATTTGCCAGCCTATTTGTTTCCTTGTTATCTTGTGTATATATACCCCTGTGTTTCAGTGCTTGTTTGTCAGTTGTTGTCTCCTATAGATGCCCATGTTCTTTGTTTCATGTTCTGGTTTTCTGTTTACCCGTGTTTGTTTTTACCTTTTGTAATATGTTTTTATTTTTTTTTGCACATGACGTAATTGCTGTGAAGTGAAATGCAGCTGGAGGGCAAGAAATTATTTTTGTATATAGAAATCGCTAGCAGAAACTCAAAATGCCTATGTTTTGCATTGCTTATGGATGCTCAAATCGGTCAAACCAAGAAAACACAAGGAGCTTTTATCGTGTACAATTTATTTGTTGTGCATAAGGGGGAAAAAAGCAAGAAATTGACTGAAAAAGGCCGGAAGGAATGGCTTGTAAACCTGCGTCTGTGGTCGGTAGGAGCCGAGATGGATAACGTAATGTGCAAATGGTTATTATAAGATATAATCAATTATTAAGATATTAATAATATATTAAGATATTAATAAAGAAATATATAAATAAATGCAGGGCTGCCATCTCTCACGCATTCAGCATGAGACAGTAAGAAATCACTCAAATGCTAAACGCCACATGTAGATACATTGTAAATAAGATATTATATGTGCAGTTTAGAGAGCTTAATTGATTATAATGGAACATTGTGCGATTGTGATAAATTGAAGTGAGTGACAGCTTTTTAGTGATTATATGGAAGCACTTTTTGCTCGCTTTCTAGGCTACAATCAATTCAGAATTTCAAGAAAGTTTTTGTTTTATGTGCTGCCAAAAGAGGTGTAAAGAGTACCTAAAAACCATACTTGAGTAAAAGTACAGATACCTTACAGTGAAAATTACTCCACTACAAGTTACAAGTCACCGATTCCAAAACAACTTGAGTAAAAGTCTTAAGAGATCTGATTATTAAAAGTCTTAATAATCTGATTTTAACAGTACTTTTACTTTTACTAGTATTTTATTTATACTAAATAAAGGCTCAAAGATGCACTAGTCAAAGAGACATGCCAGTCCAAAAGCTGTAACGTTGTGGAGAAGCTGGGGAAAACAGGCAGAGGCAAGGATCTATGTGCAGTTTCAGTGACTTTGTAATAGGCAGTATCACGTCTTTTGTAGCATAAATAAACTGCTGCAGAAAAAGCTAGGTCCATGTAAAATGTAATGTGTAACTGCAACACTCATTTCAAATGTAGTGGAGTAAAGAGTACAGATACTCATTCAAAAATGTAGTGAAGTAGAGAGGAAAGTTGCTAATATCTTTGATACTTAGTACAACTACAATTACAATTACATTCACTCCACTACTTTACACCTCTGGCTGCCAAAAGGACCAATGGCCACATACCCTGTACATGCAGCAAAGTTTCAGGAGTGACATGTATCCCGCATTCACTTTCGAAATAGCTTGATTGCAATCAGGGTTAGTTCAGGTAGGCAATTGCTTAGCCTCGATGTCAGGCAAGTATTTCAATTTAGTTGAAAAATCTTCATAACATAGAATCTCGTCCAACATATGTTGTGATTTTCTCTTGTAGTAGTGTCTAAACCAGTACAGTACGGACTTTCCTCCATCTCATCCATTCGTGACATGTATCCCGCATTCACTTTCGAAATAGCTTGATTGCAATCAGGGTTAGTTCAGGTAGGCAATTGCTTAGCCTCGATGTCAGGCAAGTATTTCAATTTAGTTGAAAAATCTTCATAACATAGAATCTCGTCCAACATATGTTGTGATTTTCTCTTGTAGTAGTGTCTAAACCAGTACAGTACGGACTTTCCTCCATCTCATCCATTCTGCTTTTCACTTCCTGCCCTCCATCTGAATTTTGCGCGTCATCAGAATCACGTGATTGCAAACAAGCTATAAACTCTGCTTGCACTTGGATCTGCCTCATCTTGCCTTTGACCCAGCATTTACCCATATGGCAATCCATCTTTGTCAAGTTCACATTTGCTTCTAATATTTTCATATCTGGTTCATGCATATATCCTTGTGACAGTGAAGTCAGTCTACAGTCTACAGCACAGAGATTTATTCTCATCCAGAGAGACTGGACATTCACTCTTCAGGTGACTGTTGACATCTGCTTGTTATATGTGGTCGATTTTCTGAAGTCATTTCATATTGGATTGCATTTGTCTTGTGTTATTCATGAGATGTAGAGCTTCTTTGCTTATACACATTAATAAACAAATTATTTTGTCTCTAACCTTGTGCAAATGTTTGT